GAGGCCATGGTCTTCCAAGCAGGCGGCCCAGGTTTAAATCCGACCTGTGGCTCCTTTCCTGCATATCATTCCCCACTCTACCTCTCCCTGACAGTATCCACTGTTCTAATAAAGACTTAAAAAATCCCCAAAATAAATCTTGAAAAAACAACACTATAAACTCCTTATAAGGTAACTGACCTTTAGACCAAAAAGTCAAACAAATTGTGCTGATATTTTAAACTGATAAAACATTAGGTCTGAAACTGAATTGCCAACTGAATCCATAATTTACTGATTGTTTAAGTCACTGCTTATCTTCTCTCCTCACGCATCAAGTTTTGCTGCTTTTGTTTATTTCAGAGCATTCAAATGAAAAAGTTGGAGGTTTTTGACTGTGGGTCTGAAAAAAAAAAAGAAATTTGGAGTTGTGTTCTGGAGAATTAGTATGGGCATAATAAGTCTAATAAGTCCACTTGCAGTGTATTAAAATATAAAGCTGAGACTTGTATTTATCACAAAGTGAGCAAGTAAGCAGAAAGATATCAACAAAGCAAAGATATCAACATCATCATAGTTAAAAAAGATGCTTTACACATTGGATGAACGTTTCGAAAAGGTCAAACCCATTTTATCATTTAACCTCTGTGACAGAGGACAGCCAAAGCCACAAATATCAAACTGATCAACAGGTTCAAAGAAACATCACAGACCACAAACCCTTTAAATCCCTCACTGTTAATTACAGGGTAGTGGCTAGATGGAGCACTCCTCTGTGTGGTAATTCAATAAGCTCATGGCCCACTAACTAATAATATCTCCTGTCTGGAGAGTGGAGCAGTACTGGGAGTGTACGGTGGCCAGAGAAGGATATGTGGCAGAGGTTGGGAGTGACAAATTGACCCCTGGACAACAACACACGCCTCAATATCAATCCGATTAGGGGCTATGAAGACAGATCTTTAGCGTGTGCATCGATCTGTTTGATACCTGCTTTGTCTTTTATCAATGTGTGTGTGCGTGCGTGCAGTACAGCTGCGTGCTCTCATGCTTGCTGTCATGTTTGGCTGACAATGCATTGACCATATGACAGAGAGCAGATCTCTTCCTAAAGTAATCAGAGGGACAGCCTGCGGAGCTCATTAGATACAGCGGACATGTAATTAAGAAATCTCCATGCTGCCAATCCCGCTCATGTACAACAGCTACAAGGCCTTGTTAAAAACACACACTCCACACCAGCACACACACACTCATCTTTTATGTTAAAAAAAAAGAAAAAAACATGCAGATTTTCTACGCACTATAGCATAAAATCACAGCCCGTTAAACATTCATTTCATTGCTAAATGAGGTTGATGTCTGATCAATTGTGTCAGTAAATCCTCTTATCCCCGGGTAAGTATCTGCAGCTCAGCGGGCCAGCTGTCAAGAAGGTGGGAGGCTGAGGAGGAGGGGACACAGCGAGGGATGGAGCCAGATAGGAAAGAGCGGATGGATGGATTGAAGGGACGATGGCTAGACAGGGGGAGGGTACTGCCCTGCTCCGAAAAAGGCTTCCCTCCTGAGCGCTCACATGATCCCACATCACACACACGCTCACACACGATCCTATTTGTGCCACCTGGTTGGCCATATCAGATCATTAATTCAGAAAAGCCCCTGTATTTTCCTACACAGCTGTGATTTAGGAATAAGTCACGGTTTTTACTGGTTGGAGAAATAAATGTTACCTTTCTTTTTGGAGGAACAGCCAAAATAAATATAGCCAATCATGTGATATAACTATATTGAAAAACAGATGCTTCAGTCTTGTACTAACATTAAAAATAGAAGGCATACGGCTGTGAAAACATAAGCAACAGAGCAAGTGAACTTCTCTGACCCCTAAATTCTGAACTACAGTAAACTTGCAAATAATTTCCCTGAAAACAAGGAAAATGAGCCCTGAACATTTTCTTTTTATTCCCTCCTCTCCCTTTAAAGCTACTGTAAATTAAAAAAAATTTATAAAACAGAAGAAATATCAGAAAGTCACTGATCATACACGTCAGCATACATTATTTCCCAGATATAAGCCGTGTCCTTGCATCCACAAACTCTGCAGACCTGCAGCAGGATGCTTTTTACTCTGAGGATCGATGAGGAGGCCAGGGTTGAGACAGCAACCAGATAAAGAATGTTTTGCGAGTGATGAAATGAGTTTGGAACTTGAACAACAGGAGATAACACAAGTCCACATGCACAAACAGAACAGACTGACCGAGTACTCCTGGAAAACAAACAAAAAGCATCAGCACTTGTTGCTCCGTCTGATGAGTTAATTCAACATGGTTCCTGGAAGTATTGTTTCCCAGTTTAAGAGGGCTACAGAGACATGGTGGTGTGTTGTCAAGATATACACACACACAAACCCCCCCCCCCCACACACACACACACACACACACACACACACTAACCCATTTATCCAATACTGTGACCCTGCTAGTGTGACCGTGGTGACCTGACCTCTGGGCCTGTGACCAGAACCTGGAAAGACTGGCAGACCAGCTTAAGAGCCACAGTAGAAAGCAGTTTGTAGGGTTAATATGAAATCTGAAAAAAGGAAAATATGTATTTCTTGGTTTTATTTTAAAAAATTGAATAATGCAAAAAGGACTATGGTTGAGGTAAAAAGTTGATTTATCATTAAAACCATTTATGACATGGCGAATAAATAAGTAATGGGTCACATGTTTAAAAAAAAAAGGTGAACCAATGAGTTGAATGAAACCTTTGTCTAAGTGTTATATGAAAAAAATGCTGTACTTTCATAATGTTTTCTATTTTTTTCCCTTTGAACTTTGACTGGTGTTTTTATCATGTCTACTTATGAAACATTTTCTTCTGCAGTGGTTTTATAGGCTGAAAAGTTAATTAGCACAATTAGATTTTCAACCATCCTACATTTGCAGTTGGTTCGTTGTTGGAAAGTGGAAAGGTTCTCCAATTTGCACTTCATTGAGATTTTTTGAAAATTGGGTTAAAAATGTGTTTCCCAATTAGAAGGACAATCTGATCTGTAATTAGATTTAAAAGATTTAGAGCAACAATCAAGTGATGGGGCCTATCACGCAACATACAACATTCGGGCCCCTCCTCGTAGGATCATCACTGATCATCGCTGGTGTTTGGCACCTGCCAGTCAGAAAGCAGGCCAACTCTGCGTCTGCAGGTGAAAGCCAACCCAAGGTTTACCCTAGTTTTGGAACGAGTGTTATCCGTTTGGCATTTGGGCTCACTGTGATTATATTTTCTCTTCTTTCCTGTGACGTCAATATTCTACAGTTTAAATTACGTCCAACTGCTAAATTGTATCCATTCCCAAACTCACCTGCGTGCTGTCATTGGCTGGGGGAAACACATCCACTTCCTGCACAGAAATATCCTGAATCAACCAAAACATCAAAGTCCAAGCAGAAGACAGGGTCTCTGCAAACCACCACACATTACCTTGGTTTAAGACTTTAATTTTTAATCTTAAAACATTATCTGAAAATGTAAGCAAAATGTAATTATTTCCATGTTTTTGCCTTAAAAGCAGCAATATGTAACTGACACGTATCGTTGAAAATGGGTACAGCAGTCCAAATTCAAAACATTGTAGAGAGCTGTCTCCCCCGACCCTTCCTCCTTAGAGTCGCAGGGTGCCATGTTGCTTCTATGTTCTAACTTCTCTCCATTCTTCAATAGCATTTCCAATATTTATCCTAGTTTCTGGTCGTGGCGCTTATTGGAAAAATGCTGAGGCTTTTTAGAATGGGTAGAATCCATTACATCTGAACCAGTTCTCTTGCCCGCTTCCATTGATGCAATACTTGTTGGTTTGCCTTGGCAAACCGAGGGCCGTCCATAACAGCCCTGTGAGGGTGCCGTGAAACTGTGGTCAAAACAAATACACCACTCCGGACCTGAATCGAAACATACCGGAGGACATACTGGCTTCTGCATGGTGTCGGAGAAACCAACACTTCAACATAGCATGTTTCCTTAATGTCTGATGATATAGTAAGGTCATATTATGATTAAATTCAGTATATATCTTACTTATTGGTCCTTCAAGTCCTTAAGTATTTCACAGCTCCTGAAGTCTGCAATTCTCCTGACTTAAAATGTATTCTTATTCCACAGATACATACACACATATGCACACAGAGAGCCGTTTAATAGCCAGACAACAGTCAGTGTGGATGTGAGTTCCCATCAACACTTCCCACACAGGAAAGAGGAAAAGGAAAAAAAGCTCATCAGAGGGAGCATTGATGGAAGGATGCAAGTGACAGACAGCAGACACAAACAGAGAAAAACTCAGGGTGGAGAGAGCTAATAGGAAGAGACAAGTGTTGAGCGATAAACAGATAGTGAAGGACAGAGCTGGAAGTAAGAGCTGGAAGTAAGAGCTGGAAGTAAGAGCTGGAAGTGTCCATTTGAGTGGAATGATATCCCTGCTGACCACACTCACAAGCTTTCGATTGTAAGTGCAGTAGTAAAGCCTTTTACCTGTCACAATTGCTTAAAACAAGCCAATGATTTTAAAGGGGATTTAGCAGTTCTTGGCTGATTAGATCATGAATTCTGGACTTGAAAGTTTGGGGAATTAAAGTGCTACCATAAAAGTAAGCAATGTATCACAGTGAGGAAGAGCCATTTTGAACTACTCAAATAATAACTACTCAAATAATAACTTGATGAATTAGACCTGCAAGTTCCACCCACTGGTAACATAACTTGTTTAAACAGTACACAGGGATTAGAGGCATTACCTAAATGCATTTGTGCAGCCCTAGCTTTTAGTGCCTGCACCTCACTCCTGTGGAAAATCATAGAGCAACAGCAGCGCAAGAAAGCAACATCTTTATACAGCAACTTCAGATCTCTCTATCTCCAACAGAAAGCGTACACACACACACACACACACACACACACACACACACACACACACACACACACTTACACAAGGCAAGGGAAACTTAGTTACTCACAGTGGCCATAACCTATCTCCCGCCCAGGGCTGCCTCCAGTTGCAGGTGATGCCACGGGATGCCACATGCCTACCGTGCAGGTGGGGAGCTGGCAGGGCGCCAGTCACTCAGGAGCAGGACTGGGACTTGAGTGTTGGCTCGATGTCAAACTAAAAAATGATGCAGACGCTGTGATCAACCGCTTTTCAGGACAGATCACGAACAGAAGGGTCGACATGGAAAAGGGGTGGGGTTGGAAGGGATGGGGTTGGGTGTTAGTGAAGAGCAAAAGAGGCGGAGTTCCCCTGGCACTGGTTATAGGATTACCCAGATTATCCTTCCCCTGAGATCAATCCGACAGGAACTGTTTGCTGCCCAATTGCTGCACAAATCAGCCATAATGCTGCCCACCCGTCACATGTCTCTCTATCTCACTCCGAGTGGGTAAAACTATCTGTGCAGTGACACCTGTTGTAGTGGCAGAATAGCATGTCTGGGATTGGAAGGGGTGGGGTCTGGGTAAGGAGCGTACATGGTGGAGGGGCTCACTTTTAAGAGGATGGTACAACCAGAAGTTTCAGATTACCTCTCTTAAAAGCAGCTGACTAGAGAGAGAACATTCAACACATGATGTTCCTGTAGTCCCCAAAGGTTTTTACATTTCAATGACATTTAAAACACATATCTTTCTCCCATCTTGCCGAGCATTAGTCACAAGCTTATCATCCAACATTAATGTTGGTCAAAATGGCATGTGAACATTTAATCATGAAATAGCCATAGGCCTAAGAATTCAATCAGCCTCACTTCTAATTCCCCTCAATGCAAAGAAATACCTGTGCCAGCATGCATGTTTAACTGTATTGTTGTGGCCTGTGTGCACATTGTTGTGTTTGTGTGTTTAACAAGTGTTATAGCATTCCAGGAAGTCAGGAATTGTCTTTTTTCAGCGCTGTAGGATGGTCAAGCAAACATGCAGCAAAGCAAAAATCCAGATGCAAACAAGGCCAAAAATATACCTTAAAGGTAATGAGGAACAATACATGACAAACCCTCAGTGGAACCTAAATAAACCACAAAAACCCATGCAGGGATGGATTCAATCTTTTATTATAGGCTCCATCTACCAGAGCAGTCCTTTACACGCAAAGGCTTTGGTGTAAAAAAAAGTGATATAACCAGCTTGCAAAAGTAAGAGTCAATATTGTAAAAAATTAAATAAATAAAGACAAATGCAGCATGTGTTCTCAGCCATTGAAGTATCCTTATCCCAACAGATATTATTCTGCAAGTGCTCCTTTAGATGTGTCCTACTAGACTATCACATGTTAACCAGGTTCCCCCCTCCAAGCTTTTGAAGGACAATTACATTTAAAAATAAGAACAATAACAACTCGAGAAGCCTTGTCCCCATGTGTACATCTATTTTATTTGCATGACTCATCAGTTTTCCTTGCAGTGCACCTGCATGAAGCTGGATCAAATGTACATACAGTGCTCGAAGGAGGGCCACCAGTAACCAGATCCACTCAGTGACAGAAACCTGGCAAGAGACTCTCGAGCACAGGCACAAGGCTAACGGGAACACAGAGAAGGAGACCAGACACTTGCCTCTTTCGGACAAATCCCTTAGGGTAGAAGCTAAAATAATAGTCCTTTTTGAATGAACACTTTATTAGAATAGTGTGTCATGGCCCACATTAAACACGCCAAATTAACCCTGAGAGCCATTATTAGCCTTCATAGATGAAACACTACGATGAAGCAGGAAGAAGATAATTGGCAACCCTAAATTTAGGGTATGCTCTCAAATATTAAATCTGAACTTCTAATAATCTAATAAACATTTGGCATCAGTGTCATGCACATTTGTGTCTAAAGATTATAAATATTGAAGCCAAGCATAAAAAAAAAAAAAGACAGGAGTAGTGTACTCAAATGGCACTCAGAGCTTTCAAAATAGCCAAGCGTTTGGGACACGTTCCTTATGTGTCTCAACGGAGAGGTTTAATAAGATCTAATGTACTCTTTGTTAACCTGTGGCTCCTAGTTGTGCTCCTGTTGGGCACAGACCGCATTCAAACTAACTTCTACTAAGTCATTAATTCCCCCTCATTAGTCCCACAACTTTTAATTCAGCTACGGGCTAACCAAAGTGTGCCAACATTAGCCTGCTATCACAACAATGCAATGATTTGTTGTTCATTTAGTGCCCGTTTTAATATAATGTTGATAAAAATGATGGGATATACGATCTGGTGTCTGCATATGGTGTTTTTTTATTTTGAAATTGACCGGATGTTCTGTGCGATCCCTTGTCTGACTTCTTGTTCGGGTCTATCTGCTCTGTTCAGCTTGACACATGCTTGTCGCTCTGTCAAAAAAAATACTTTTCCTGTATTTAGTACGGAGCTATTTGAAAAGTTATTTCAACATGAAGATTTAACATAATTTTAAACCAAAGACCAACTTATGAACTTAGTTTATCATAGACTAACTAGAAGGGGTAAAAATAAGCTTTACCTCAACCAACATTTGGGACACAACAAGTTTAAGGTACTGTGAGGAGTTTTAGATTCTTAAAAAACCAAATGAATACCACTTTAAGACTGCAAACGAGACTGCTGAGGGGTAGGTGTTTTACAAAACACTGTTTCTTAATTGTTTGGGGGCGGCAGTAGCTCAGACTGTAGGAACTTGGTCCCTGCGCAGACCAAGTCTGGAAATTTGTCTGGTAGCTGGAGAGGTGCCAGTTCACTGCCTGAGCACTACCCAGCACCGAACCTCCACCAGAAGCACTTTCTGTGGGCAGCCCCTTGCTCTAATATCTCTCCACTAGTGTATATCCATATGATCTTGTTTGTGCTTTTAAGCTTGTGTGTGAAGCATTTCCCCCTGCAAGACTAAGAAAATGATATCTTTGAAAATAGAGATTAACAGCATGCTGCAGAAACAGCCTCTGTTTTTTAAGATTTTTTTAGGGCAAAGATACTTGATGAGTGATATTTGATTGGTAAAAGAAAGCAGAATGAGATTTTTTGTAATAAAAGAAACTACTTACAAAATTTGGCTACAGGAAATATAAGAAAAGACATATTGAGTTTCTAATATATCCTCAGAGGACGCCAAAATAACACGAACAAAAAGTTGTTCACATGAGCTTTAACACCGACAGAGGCCTGTCTACATAATGAGTGTTGTATTTTTTTGTTTATACTTTTGTACTTTCTCATAAGTAACACTTTGCATGCAAGACTTTTACTTAGATATATTTCTATAGTGTGGTTATACATACATCTACGGTAATTACTTTTTTCATCAGTGACGATACACTTGTTTTTAAATCTGCAGCCTCTAATGTTTCCTCTCTCTTATGAGATGGTAATTTCTGTTTTATTCCATGTTGTATATTTAGAGGTTGAGCCTTGTTATGGATGAAATCATTAAAAGCAAACGGAAATGGATACATGCTTGACATCAGAGGGATGTCATGATGGGATACATAATGTTCAGTGTACAGAAAATGAAAGTAAGCGCTCATCCATGTGAAACATGTATGTTGTTGCTGCATAATCAGCAAAGAAAATAGCTATTTACATCCCATAAGCGAACAGTGGTGCAGCCTGCAGGCCTCTCAAGGTTCTCTGCTTGATTAAAGCTAGAATTAAATCAAAGCTTTGACCTTCTTCACTAATGACTAATTACTGGCAATTAGCCCAGAGAATGGCCTCCGTATGCCCCTTCTTTTCCTTCATCCTGTTCTCACAATTAGCACCCACTCACACACAGCCAAAACATGCCGGCCCTTTTTTTTCACTGAGGCATAAATACAACACACTCAATCAATCGTGCCCGGGAATAAACCCATTGTGTGTTCTGTGTGCTACTGCAAGCGTCGGCAATCGCAGGTCTCAAGCTATAGAATTCTTGAGCAAATACCTGCAGAGAGCCACACCCTCTACCTGTGTGGTTTATTTAACTCTGCAGGAGTGGGTGGGGAATGCTCTGTGTGCAGGGACCAGCCGTTAAGAGAGTAGGTTAAACACAGTCTTATGGCACGACCCACATTCTTCAAGTCACATGATATCATGGTCACATTTTTTTTGCACATAGGAAGTTGCCATATTTGCAGCTGTGAAGTTTCAGCACGAGAGTGTGTGGCCAAGTGAGTGTGTCCCTCACTGACCGTGTGTGAACTGGGAGGTGAATCATTGACCCCTGGCAAGTGATGAGAGTTCACATCAACTACGGTGACCTCTCTCTTTCTCCAAAACCCTCCCCCCCCACCCCCCACCCTCATCCACTTGTCCTTTTTCTTGCTCCCTTCACTCTCTCATACCGTCCTTCTTCTTTTTGCCACAACTTCCCTGAATGGCGAGCTAAGGATGTTCTCACCGTCAAAAGTAGGGTGTAAGTGCTCGTCAGCGTGTCTAGAATCACTTCCACTGACGGAAAATAAAAAATGCTGAGGGAGAGAAATGCTTATTCTCCTTCAAGGCTTTTAAGTAGGGCTGCATTAGACCTGCTGAAACACAACATGTCTGGGAAAAAACTGAGGGGATTATTAGAACCATCCACACATAATCACCAGAAATGTTTTTGAGTCTCCAAATCAAGTCGTGTTTTTATGGCCTTATTTTCATACTCTGTGTTTGGTGCTTGGTTTGTTGATACAAAAATAAATCACAAATCATAGTTGTGGGCCAACACAGAGACAAAACAAGAACAGCTCTTCCTTGTGATGAGCTTGTGGTTGTGGCTTTCACTCAGAAACAGCTCCGTGGCTTTACTCCAAACTTTTAATACGCAAATGCTAAGAAAGATAACTGTCCTTGTCTAAGGTTCAACCAGTACCATTAAACGACCGCAGAAATGGCTGATTTTATCCATAAGTTTTGACCACTCTTTGCACACAAAAATTACAAATATTGAGCATTTAGCACAGTTTGCAACTGGTTGTGTGAGTTGGGAAAGCTGCCACAGCATTACTGTTAAGACCATAATGTGTCAACATATCTCTTCATTATAACCAAAAATTATCAAAGTATTTGAGAAGAGCATTTCTTTTTTAAAAGCCTAACTCTCCATACCTTGTAAACAGGGTATATAGGGTATATAACCAATGGATCATATCTGCCCTAAAATGCACCGGTCTGATGCTTCCTTATGTGCTTAAATGATAGGATGCCACTACTGTCTGGCCAGACTAAATCTTTAAAGATGGACATGAAAGCATGTCCAGCCCTGGGTTTGCTGCTCTGTTACTTCTGCGCACTTTGGGCTTCCCTGTGCTTCCCTCTATGCTCCCACATCCAGATGTCTGTCACATTCCCCTGGGAGCAGCATTCATTATGGAAACAATTTCCAACCCATATCTCTGAATAGTGCAGAGATATCTCTGATAACATTAAGGGGCTGCACGATTCAGTCTTCAAAGAGTGTTTTTTTTATTTGCTTCCTTGTAATGCTACATCACCCCCCCCACCCCCCATCTTTAAAAGAGACGGTGGTTTTGAAGCACATGGTATGTTTCTAGCACAGTGGTTTGACAATCTTTCAGGGAGAAAAAAACATCACATGATAAATGATGCATATAGAGTGTGACTCAGTGGAGCTTAAAAAGCCTCACTCTCCAGTTATTTGAAACGGTTTAGAAAAAAAAAGGAAGAAGAAAAAACAGGCCTGTTGGTAGGCAATTTTTGCAATCTTTACCAGCATATGTAGGCGACATGAGGTATATGTATTCCACGTGTTGCAAACTTGCAACCCATATCTTCTTCTATGCTGTTTCTAAGCTGTCAAACAAATCCTACTAGAAAAGTCGATCAGCTGGTTCAAGGGCAAAGTCACAGAGTCAGACCAGAGTTCAGCTATAGGAGCGAAATCACACCAAGCTGTCATTCAGCCGAGTCCAGGCACAGCGCTGACCAGGGCGCGTCTTACACTCGCGTTTCAACATAAATTGCAAATGTGTTTCTCTGTACGAATCCGCCATTCCGCATGGCTCTCTCATGCATTTCTATCTGGACCTGACGGCCGTTCCAGACCAATAAATTGCGTTTCTGTCTCAAACAGTTTAGCAAGAGACGCGCGACAAGCGCCATAAATTACATAAGCGCAATTAAAGTGCCAACCTCTGACCTTGCCTGACCGGCACAACCACGATCACCTGACTTTTGCATTGGCCACAGCTTTCGCTTCAATTGGCACAGCTGCAAAAATTATTATTACCAAAGAGCGACGCATAACAACCGGATCCACAGCCAGGATTCTGCTGTTAAAGTCCGCGGTTGTTTCGCGTACAGCTCGCAGACAGGAGAGAAGACGCCATGAAACAAACGCACTCTCCTCTTAAGTCAAAACAAAACGCAGTAGCCTGGTGAGAAACACTGCAGACAGACTGAGCTCCAAATAAATCGTTTAGGCGTACTTACTGAGGTGTAAATACGGATCATTACTGTCCATACTGTGCGAGTTGTTGTGTCGATTTCCTACAGTTGGTGCTGCTCCGCATCCCAGCGCATTCCTCTCCCAGTCCGACTCAACTCTGCGAGGCGGCTCTACACGGGGGCCCAGCGAGGGGGAGGGGGGCGGCAAAACAGGGCTTCTCCCAATGACAACAGTGGTCGATATCAAGCTCCAACACGATCGTGACGAAACGTCTCTCCTGCAGTGACACTGTGTTGCAACATTTCCACAGTAAAATGTTACTTTCAGAAACCATGACGTTTATAGGTGGGGGGGAAAAAAAGATGGTGGTGCGTTTAAATAACCTACAACGTGTTTTTTCCCCCATAGTTCTTTAAACCTGGATATTCTGAACAATCCTCATCAATGGACTACTAAAACAACGTTAACATAAAAGTCAAGGAAGGATGTGTTGCGAGGAGATTTGACGGCATATGGCTATATTCTTATATTTTAAGCATTGTGAGTCGGCTACTTCAAAGCTATAGCATTTTAAAAGGCTACATTACTGTCGTTGATGGGCTTGGGCATAAGCTGCATTTATTGTAAGGAACTTCTTTTATACCATTTTGTTAACATTTGAAGTGAATTTCTTGTGATTCACCTGGAAAATAAATATATTTTAAGCTCAAAAGGTGTCCCCATTACTCGCTGATGATTGTCTCATTAAAAAAGCTGGAATGTATAACTAATGTATAACATGTAGATAATATAATAACGTATGAAATATTTTTCAAACATTTCCATTTGAAAACAGTGTTTATAATCTCCTGCCGGCTTTCTCTGAGGGGATCTCTCCAGTGTTTACCTATTAGCTAGAGCGAGTCCTGGTCTGGGTACCCCCCGGAGTCCCCCTACACCCCTCTTCGGAGTGCGGGGTCATGTAGGGGTGAGGCTCCCGGTACCTCAGAAGGTTATTCAGGAGTCAAGCCGCACTGATGCATTCACGGTCCTGCTTTGCGGAGCAGGCAGACGCTCCGTCAACGCCGGCCCGCTGACCACTCAGCGGGGCCATTGGACTGCCCCGCTAATGGGACAAGCACCCCCGGCTCCACCGTCCTTGTAACAGCGACCCAATAAAAGAACACAGGAGGATGCTAACCAAGATGAATGGCATTTTTTCTCGGCTCATTCTACACTAATCAGAGCTTTTCATTTGTTATGGCCTCGCGCCAGCCCCTCCACCGCAGCCTCCATTAGAGCCGGATAACGTATAAATTCATTAAAGTCAAAGAGGGACATTAAAATGGCCATTTGTCAGATCTCTCTTTGTGTGTCCCTAATGGTGGCACATGGTTCAAGGCATTGAGATGATTTTGGTAGGGATTTTTTTCCTCTCTAGTGCATCAGGAGAAGAACGTGGGAACTGGGGAACTTTGAGGGGTTTTCTTGTTTCACGAATGATGGCTTATCTATAGGATATATATATATTAACGCCCGCAATTAGGGGAATGTTTTCTCATTATCTTGTTAGTTGTGTTTACATTGTTCTTTTTAAATTCATATTTCACACATAAGACCCTTTATTTTTTGTTTTCCATCCAATCAATCCTTCAATTAGACACCACCCCCCCCTACACACATAAATACTCACAGTCAGTGAAGCAACCCTTTGCATGAACCCCCTTTGTAATCATACCACTCATTTCAAGCAGCAATGTCATAAAGCCTAATCCCAAAACAAACCCTTCAAACCCGGGCCCACCTGCTGTAGCTAATCAGCAAGTGTGTTCCAGCTAAAAGGCCAAAAGACAACTGTGCACAACTAAAATGCATAGTTTGGAACAGGCCACACTCAATTCTCTAACCCTAACTCTTTAGTTCTGCAAGTCCCCGACACAATTCCTCTATTTCTCTCCTTCCTTGTGTCTCTGTCCTCCCCTGGCTTCAGGATGGAGGTTCTAGCTGCGTCGTCATGGGAGATGGCTCTCTCCATCTGCCTCTGCTGTCATTAGCCAATCTCCATCACGCTTTATCAGAGGGGACCCTGAACATCCCCCCAACCTCCCAACCTCCTGGACCCTCTTCAGCATTCTGACAACCCCTGCCCCCTGCTCCATACACAGGCCTGAGATGATAAGTGTTCTCCCTCATTGTGTCTGCCAGGATAAGACAATACCACACAGCACTACAGAACATCATCCATCTCGTAGGTCATTAATCTGGGACACAAAAGATGAAATGTGGCTCCAACTCCTTTGCAAGGCGGTTTCTTTTATTTTGCTTAGAAGAAGCTTGTCCTCCACCTCTCTTGCTCCTTTTCACTGCTAGGTTAGTGGTTCACCAACAAATTCATCAGCCTTGCATGCCTTAATGGGAGGAAAGAAGTTAATGCACGTTTACTATTTTAAGTATTCCTTAAAAAGCTTGGGGCAGGCTGATTGCAACAGCATAGACGCAAAACAAAGACTAGCAACATTTACATTGTAGCCATACACTGTTTCAATTCCTCTGCAGAACAATATATTGGTTTCTGGGTCCCTTGATTAAAAACTCATCTTTATCTTGCTATTAAATTGACAAACTAACAGGCCTTTGTCAAATTTACATGTATTTTTGTGGCTGTAAATAATCACTAAAAGCTCTGTCACATTTAAATAACATTATCTTCCTTTTGTTACTCCCCTCTTGTGCCTAATTAGGTTTACATTGTCTCTTCATGAGCGTGGGGATTCTTGTCTTTAGTCGTTGTCAGTGAGCAGCAGTGTATTGTTTTTTTAGACTAACATACAATAACCTCCTTGGATGTAAAAGTGTGTTTCAAAAAAGGCCCAAAAACACAACTTATTATTATTATTTTTTTTTTTTTAAAAGGACTACTATGGTCATTTTAATGATGCACAATCTTATCTAAGTTTATATTTCAGGCAGTCTTTGCCCTGCAGGAGTTATCAGTAATTACAGCTTCATAGACAGCACATGCAGTTACAGACTAGCGTTCAGATATTAATTATAGGATTGTGTGGACTTTAGAGCTCAAGCAGAGCAGTGTAGATTCTAGTAAATGGTAATGTGATGTCTTATCTTGTCTCATCTCAACTTTCCAAATTGAAGGTCAAGTTTTATCATCTTCAGCCATCATGGTTACGGATAACAAGAGGCAAACAGCATTGTTGCCTAGTTTATTTAAATGCTACAAATTGAGTGGTCATATTGTTAGTTACATAGTGACTGACTGAGGAACAAACGTCTTGTATACAGAGGTGCAGTACATTTAAATAAGATGACGTCAAACTCAACATTGCCTTCAAATTGTTTTAATGAAAAATGACAACCTTGCTGAATTTACATCTCTAATATTGTCTGTTTTGTTTAAATGATTGTACCTTGCTATAAATACAGTAGCATTATCAATGTTGATGTATTTATTCAAATTAATACTACAATTTCCCATATATTGAGTTATATATTTGTGTATACATCAAGCATTATTTGATTACTTTTTACATTTTTAAGGGACAATAAAAAGTATCAGATGAATGTTCTCAGATTTAGAAATGAGTTAAATTGTCTGCAAGACAATTGTCATGATTCGGACATAATATAGACAAAACATTGTTTCAGATTTTATAGTAACAGCAACATGACAGAAATCCCCTCCCTCCATATTATATAAAATGTTGTGTTAAACCATTCGGCTAACATATCAGGTTAACCTGTTAATCTGCAGTCCGTGTCTGCATCTGAGGGGCTTTACACACAATCAATATGATGAGCTCTGATATGTCCACAGACTAAAAACACTGTCTATGCCGTTACTCCAGCACTCTAATCAGACAAGGATGCATTATCATCATCACTGGGACACGTAATATAGGCTTCTTTCCTTTTTTTTGAAGAGTGTTTTGTACTGTGAGGTATACGGCCTCTTTTTGATTTCAACCGGTCACAGTAGTGCCACAAGCACATAAACAATCAACTGGACTGGATATCTTTTTTTTTACATTAGTTGATAAGGTTTAATGTTATAGGAGATGTACAGACTCCAGACAGATGGTTGACCTCAGTGTTGGTCTTTAACCTGCTGTAATAAGTTAATACAGACCGGGGGTTTGTTCTTTTAATATGAAGCTGAACCAATCAAGCAGGGAATCAACCAGACCACCTCAGGTTAATCTCACTGAGACCTGAAATGCCCATGAGGGATTAAACCCAGCTACTGATTTTAGGCACACAATGTCTCTTAATGCTGTGCCAGTGCCATTTAAAAATCACAAACAAAGTCTAAGAATGTACTCTGTATAAGAGAAGCTTTATTCTATAACAGAGTAAACATACTGGTCGGCCTACATGACGTTCGGATCAAACAACACCTGTTCACAAATTATAGGTCAGGAAAACTCTTTTGAAATGACTAAGCTTTTGTCAAAATGATTAATGAGTTGTTTCCGTGTTTGTCACAAGTATTTACAGCATGCAGGATATGCATGTGTTACCATCTGTCGCAATTCAATAATACACTAATAATTCCAAGCACTATAGTGACATTTATATCTACTGATTCAAATGATTCATTAACTCATTCACCCAACAGGACAATGTTACCATCACCATCTGCTTTAAGTTATTAACAAAGAGAGATTCTTTTTAAAGGCTTTTTGATGACTATCACCTGAAGTTAAATGGTATACTCAAGCAAGTTACACTTCCATAAAGTTTCTGAAACTTGCAAGAGAAATGTTTAAAAAAGGAAATGTCAATACTGATGCAGCCAAGGCCAAGCTATCTCCCCTCTTACATTAATAAATCGTGTACCACACTTTTTTGTGTCTTTAAATGCTACATTTCTTCATTGTGGGATAATTAAAGGATTATCTTGTTTAACCAGCACAATAAAAACACATATCCTTCAAACTATACACCTTGTTTGTAACACAGGGTTTGTGCAAAAAAATTTGAGATACTTCTGAGACTTGACAAATCACAGAACAGGTAGCCTACAGAAGACATCATATAACTTTTTGCTTGTATTTTCCACATGTTTCCTTAAACTTAAAATGTTAGATTTTATACTTTAAGCTCACACATTCTTTTTTGTCCTTCTTATATAGAACAACATAAACATAATACTATCCTTGACTTGTACATAGAAACACAATTTTTCTTTTCAAAGGCTTTAGATTGTGTCTTTAAAGGGGGTTAAAAGCCGGATGCTTACCCTTCCTGCTGTGACTACA